CAGGAGAGCCAGGCGAATGCTCTACATCAATGATGGGCATTCGGGCTCACGTGGGTTTTCGCCCTACACCCTGCAGTACCACTGTGTACATACTGTACAAATGTTGTGATATTTAGAAATGTAAAAAATGTCAATATAGTGCCCATAATATTTGCTATTCTAGTTTTTAAAAGAAATGTTTATTTGTTAAAAGAAAACTCATGGTGACATCTGGGCTCGTACCTCCAACCTCAGCCTTATAAGTCAGTCATTTAAGACATCACACCACAGATACAGTGACATACAGTAGCAAGCAGTGAAACTGCCATACACATATCAATAGAAAGTCTTATACTACTGTTTGTGCTACAGTACCTGAATATAATTATATTGTTATTAATTTCTTTAGATACGCAATTCCATATTATATTCCCTATTAATCAAATTCTAAAAGTATGCTTTTGTTTATTCCGATAATGAGCGTATTGGCAGAAAAGCTTAAAACTATCTATTTTCTCACAAAGTACATAAATGTACAGTAAGATGGTCAGAAGGAGAACGTAAAAACGTTTCCAAAATAACCACATGGAAGACTTTGATGCTTAAAATGTTTAGGGAGAAATGGAATACTGGTGTGTAATTTTTTCTTTAAACTACCAATACCAGCCATATACAGTACAGTTTACATAATATGTTTACGTTCCTAAATTAATATCATTTATGATCTTCAGATGTGTTATGCTCCTTTTCTTTTTATGCTCAGCTACTAAAATTTCCCTTTAGTTGTAAAGTTCCATATAAATATTCAATACTAAGCGGATTAAAATGTGCACAGTAAAGAGATTAAATGATTAAATTTTTTCACTACCGACCAATGCACCACGAGTGCCCCTATCAGTCAATTTGGCCAGCCAATCACGTACTGCGGTACACCGCGGTGGCTTGTGGGTAGTTGTGTATGGTACGGGTTTGTACCGCGAAGTTTGAATGGCTGCATCTGTACAGTTTACATAACATGTTCATGTTCCTAAATTAATTTAAGTTATGAGTATGTGAAAGGCATGGTGAATCAGATTCTAAAAAGTTACTTTGTATGATTGGAAACAAATACGTGATCGGATCAACAAAATTCTGTGGTGTTACTTTTGGTCAATGAAAAAATAGTTTTTTCGTTTACAAAGACGGTTACAAAAAAAGTGGACCTGGGTAATACTTTGAGCTTACAGCCTGTCCAAGGTTATTCATTATTAATATTATTAGTAATATCTTCAGTAAAGACTTTGATGCATAAAATATTTCTGCATAATTAAAATATTTATAATAAAGGTGGTAGGTTGTGTACTTTTGTCCAACTGTGCAATCCTGCTTTTATAAAATATACCAACTTTTTAATGTTTAATGATTAACATGCTGTAATACACAGTTTAAAATTAAAAGTTTAAAGAGTACACAACTTAAAATTCTTAACTGAATAAAGATTGTCCCTCAGCGGTGATCGGGATTCAAAACAGGGTGTTTTCTGATGATATCTCAAATGCTGTACATGAGAGGTCAAGCTTTATTAGTTCGACCTGGCAGTTTTACAAGGTAAAACCGGATACTATTAACAAAATCTAATTTGCATGAGTAAAATGCGGTATGACATAATACCAACACCTGAAAAGAGAAGAAAGAGAAGAAAGCAAACGCAAAATTTAAGGTCTGCTTCTTTCATGGTTTTGTTGCGAAATGTTCTTATACTTGTTACATTCAGAGATCCTGACTGATTTGACTTTATATTTGCCCCATTAAAACATTGAAACAGAAAAATAAAAATTCTGTAGTTAAGCTTTTTGTAATTCGATTTGTAACATTATTTATTAATTATTATTATTTTTAATAATTATGATTATATTTTTTCTTATAAAACCACTAACATCGACACAGGTGTTTCTGCTGTTCAAAGCCTCTCATTGATTTAAAATGCGCTGAACTCTGCCACAGGCACCCCTTTGAATTTTTTATATAATTAAGGATATGTTTGCATAGCATTAAAATAGGAATGTTTTCACAAGTGTAAATCCACCAGTGTATCTTTTCCAATCGCTTTAAGATAAGATAAGATCACTTTCTTAGCCATGTACAGTTTCTTGCATTAAAAATGAATTTGTCTTTTCGCATACCCCAGCTTGCTCTCCATGAGACACACAGGAACACAGATGGGAAGAGAAAAGTTTGGGGTAAGAGCGCAGGATCAGCCATTTATACGGTGCCCCTCGAGCAGCTGGGGTTAAGGCCTTGCTCAGGGGCCCAATGGACTAGGATTCCTGTGCAGGTCATGGGATTTGACCCAGAAACCTTCCAGCCACAGGTGCAGATCCTTAGCCACAGTGCAACCTCACTTTATCCAGGAGAAACACCAGTCTCACCTGCAATATTTGGTTACATTTTTTACAATTTTACATTTTTAAAACTCCCACTGTTGACAAAATGCACATTCGCACAATCATGTTGTTGATATTATTTAACTTTGAACACGTGATATTTAGAAATACTAAAAAAAATCAATATATTTACTATTTTGCTAAAAAAGGAATATTTATTTGTTAAAGGAAAACACATGGCCCGAGCAGGAATCAAACCCCAGCTTCCAGAATCTAAGCCACACAATAAAGCCGTTATACCAACTCAGTAGTTTAAGCTATAGCTGAAAAGGACATGCAAAATGTTTCCAAGTAATCACGAGAGAATGAGTCAAATCGATGGAGATGTTTACAAAGAAAGTAGATGACAATAATACTTTGAGCTATATAAATATATTCTATTTAGATTCTTAAATTAATATTATTATTAATTTCCTAAAATACACCATTCCATATTATAATCCCTATTAAGGTTTTACTGTGATAACGATCATAAGTATTCGTAGAAAAAGGTTAAATAGCTTTTTATAAAGTATATATAGTCAGAATGAGTACATCAAAACCTTTCCAAATTTACCACAGTCTTTGATGTATAAAATGTTAATAAAAAAAGTGGAATACTGTTCTGTATTTTTTAACCTACCACTACCAGCCCTCTACAGTTTGTATAATATATTTATAATCCTAAATTAGTAATGTTCATGTGGTTCAGAGACGTTATGCTCCTCTTATTTTTATGCTCAGCTACCAAACTTTCCCTTTTTGTTGTAAAATTCCAAATTTAATAATCCATATTAAGCAGATTTAAACATACCTATTAGAGAGATTAAATGAAGCAATCATTTCACTAACAACTAATCAGGTGCCACCTGTCGATCATTTTGGCCAGCGAATCACCTACTGTGATAGCCTGCGCAATGAAACCCATAGTGTGGGATTTTACCCTGCATTTTGAATGGCTACATCTGTAGCTTTAGGGGAATTTTTCCTGTAAACTGATGAATTATAGTTGAGTTTATTTTGTGAACTGTCTACATCACATTAACAAACATCATCTGTTATTAAGGACAGGGGTGTTAACTGTTAATTGCAATGGGCAACTTCTTTGTGTTGTGGGTGGTTTTCCTTTGTAGGACTGCCTGGGTCCGGCATGGTGACTGGCTAGCAAATGAGCAAATCACTGACAGGTTGCTCCGCAACCTGTCAACGAATTGTCAATAAGAGAGCCCAGTAAGTTTAAGGGACACCACTAGATGGCTGGAAAGACGAGGGGTAGAAGCTGTTGAGTTTTTATCTTCTGAGAATTTTAGGATCTTAAAATGGTGTATATTTTTATTGATCTTATGGGGGATAAGGTTGTAGAGCTGGGCAAGTATATGACTTGTTTTTATAATTTGTTAATTTATTTCAGTTAGTTATGGGGAATATTTGTTTGGCATTGTCATTGTTGTTGGAAAGGGAGTTAGTGATTAAAATGTGTAATGTAGAATAAGTGTCGATTTTTTATGTGCTTCCCAGTGTTCAAGAGAGACACAAACACATTTTTGGTTTCATAATATCACAAATCTAAATATTTTTTTGTTTGTGTTTTTAATTCCAGTTCATGCAAGAACATCGTGGCATTAAATAACTGGAGACTGTTGGTCTGATCTGGCCAGTAGAACTTTTTTACTCCTCCATTGTCAATATTCACACATTTCCTCATTCACACCTGAAGAAGGCTCCACAGCCTCCTTTCCTTTTAACAGGGAACAAACATTTACCTTCATCTTTGCAGCCTGCACATCCTGACGTAACTCCCTTTACCTTTGTTTGCTTGTCCACGTTTGTTTTTGTACTACTAATAATATTTTTGTATCAATATTAATATGAAATACCACCACAGATGGCTAAATAATAATAATAATAATAATAATAATAATTTATTAATACATTAATATTGTTATTTATGCTCAGAAACATTTTTATTTTAATCTCTTAGCTACATTTTCCATTACTTACATGATTCCATAAGTAAGTAGTATATTTTTTGAAGGCAGCTCATGTTTTCCCTAACATCTACTGCACCACAAGTGCCACCTATTGATCATCTTTGGCCAGTGAATCACAACAACGAAGTACACCGTGTAACAGCGAGAAAAAAAGATCTCTTGTAGCATGATATTGGCTTTAATGTGCATTCTGAATGTCTCCATCTGTGATTTAATTTAGGCTTACCACAGCAAAGGGTTTGAATACTCATTAAATCAGGAATTTTTAAAATTTTCTTATATGAATGATCTATTTAATTCATTTTTATTATTTTTATTAATTGTTACTTCAAAGTGTCTAGACTACAGTCTTTAAAGCATCAAAATATTAAATCTGTGCAATATACAGTATTATTAAATAGTACAAATATAACTTTGTCAGTGTATATATTGACCACAAAAATACATTTACTAAATATTATTTTTTAAATATATAATATGTTGTCAAAATTGAGCAATGTTATGTCATTTTCCCGAAGGTTATCAACAAGTTTAGAAAACAAAGTCCATCTCAGCCTGGTTTTGGACTTGAAATCCATGCACAGAATTCCAGCAGGATTACCGGTTATGATTATGATTTTGTGTTTACCTATATACTTTTCTCGCAGGGTTTTTAAAGCGGCAGACAATCCACCTGCTTCTGTGTTCTCCACTTCCTCCTGGAAAGTGTCATTCTGTGGTGTGACCTCCATGGCAGTCTTGGCATTACTCACCACCTCAGTGAGGTCAACTTCCTCCTCAAAGTCATCAAGGTACTCACTAAAATCCACCTCATCATGTGGCACTGAAATGGGTACAAAGAAAATAAGTATTAAGGTAAAATTATACATATAAAACTTAGTTCAATACCATCACTTTCTGACACACTATCAGTACCCACTTGGACTCTGTGACATTATGTTACTACAGGTATGTTACAATGAAATGTGCTGACTGATCTGGCTTTCTATTTGTCTCATTGAGCTGAAACAGGAAAAAAAGACATGCTGTCATTAATCTTTTTAGAATTTAATTTATTATAAAACCTTTTTCATTTTAAAACAAGCTTTCTTGTCTCCTGACGTTGCACATTTCATATCCACAGATATACCAAAACAGTAGCATACATAGCAATGAGCTGCAGTGTGATATATATACCGAATAAATATAAAGTGTATACAGTATGATACCATATAGTTTTAAAGCCACTGCAGTACAGTATGTGTTCAATATATTTTTATAACCAAAATTTAAATTGTTTCCTGCTTACTGTTGCTGAAATTTGCATTAAGACAAAATAAAGATTTTCTCAATGTAGATGTAAACGTAAAAGAAGCAAGCTGAACTCACAACAAGCTATAATAAACTATTTTTTATATATCTGTAAAAAGAAAAACAATGGTCAGTCCAGGAATCAAACTGCTAACTTTCTGTGGAGTAGACAGGAATCTAAACCACTGGGCTAAACTGCCACTTGGGCACACTATGCTACATTACAGTCTATGAGCGCTTCATTGTCCATTAAAAATATAAGGACAGCAAAAGTCATTAAAACAAAAGTCAAAGTGTTTCCAAAATATCCATAAATTATGTTTTTAGCTGTCAACACTTCATAAGTTACATGATTCCATATTAATACATGTATTCCCTATGAAGTGTCATTAAAGGAGTACTAAAACGTATTACATTTTATTATTTTCTAAGAATACATTATAACTTCTTCTGGAGTAAATAAACTTTATGTAGTTGGAACAAGCACATTAATACTTTTCCAAAATAGCCACCGTAAGTTACCAAGTTAAAGCCTTTGATGCATAAAATGTTTACAGTATGTAGAAAGTGGGATACTGTTGTGTTCTTTGTTTTCTTATATTTAGCTACCACTACCATCTATTGTGTGTACATGAGGTATACAGTATATTACATATGAGACTTTTAGGCTACTACAGTGCAGTATGCGTGAAATCTATTTTTAATTATCAAAATTTAAAATTAAATTGTTTCCTGATCACTCCTTGGTGAAATCGGCATTAAAACAAAATATATCTCAATGTAGATGCAGACCTAAATAATAATTAAGTTTTTGTAAAATAGCCCTGCTTTCCTTCTTTATTAATTCAATATTTAACATACTGTAATACACAGTTTAAAATTAATAAATGTATAAACAGTATACAACTTAAATTGTATAATTGGAAAGAGAATGTCTCAAGGGGCTCAGAATTGATTGGGAATTGAAAAAAGGTGTTTTCCGGTGATAGCCCTAATGCTTCCACATGCCACATTAAGCACTCACTGTTCCACCTGACCATTTTACAAAATAAATGCAGTCCCACTACAGAAAATGTTTAAAAAAGGATAGTGTGAAAGGTATTTTGAGGTACGCGCAGTGCAATGTGCTGCATCATCCGGTGTGTATTCTGAATGGCTGGATCTGTATTGGTAATCATTAGGTAACATTGATAGATATAAAGGGCAATGATCCATTGTTATGTGGTAGTTATCATTCAATTAGTTTGATGAACATGGACAGTAAGATTCTGGTAAAGACACTGGTAACCCCATTTTGTAAATTTCTACCAAGGCGAATACATAAAGATCAAACAGGTTATATGCAAAATAGGATATTTTTCAGACAAGAAATCTTCTTAACCTGATACATTGTGGCAATTTTTCATAGTCACTAACTACAGTGTGTACAGTTGTTGCAAATAAGGGTTTCAACAGAACTGAATGAAGTTACTTTTTTGATGTACTCAAACTGTGGTCCTAATGTTATTCAAAGTAAAAATGAATCATTAATTCACCTTTTCTGGGAATGCCATTATATAAATTACTTTTGGACAGCTCAGATATCACTTGAACATCTGGATATACCAATCTCATTAACAGTTATTACTTGTTTTCCGGGGATCTATGTAAGTTTAAAATCTAAGTTTAACTACATTTTTAATTTCAGTTCAGCATGAGACCATATCTTTATATTGTCACTTAAAGAGCTATCATAGAGAAATAAGTGGATAATACTTGCCACCCTACATGGAATGAGTTAATGAAGTTGTTATACAAATCCAACATGAAAAGATTGATTTATATTACCTTCCAGACTGTAAGCAATCAATATTAATAATAATTGCTTAAACTTATATAGCGTTTTTCTGGACACTCCACTCAAAGCACTTTACAGGTAATGCGGACTCTCTTCCTCCACCAGCACCACTAATGTGCAGCATCCACAATACTTTAAACAGGTATGGGGCCCACCTGAGACATACAGATGCAGCCATTCAAAACGAGCAGGGTAAGCTGCGGTACAATGCAGTGGGCGTGTCGCATCAAAACGGGTCTTTTCGCATCATTTTACCGCATGCAAATTAGACAATGTTAATAGTATTAGTATGTTAATAGTATCCGGAACCACCTTGTAAAACCACCAGGTGGAGCTAATAAAGCTTAACCTCTCATTTACAGCATTTGAGCTGTCACCAGAAAACACTCGGTTTCGAAAACCCAATCACCACTGAGGGTCAATCTATATTTAGTTAAGAATTTTAAGTTGTAAACTCTTAAGACTTTTAAATTTAAACTGTGTATTACAGCATGTTAACCATTATACATTAAAAAGTTGGTATATTTTAAGAAAGCAAGATTGCTCAGTTGGACAAAAGTACACAACCTACCACCTTTATCATAAATATTTTATTCATACAGAAATATTTTATGCATCAAAGTCTTTACCGAAGGTATTACTATTAGTATTAATAATGAATGACCTTGGACAAGCTGTAAGCTCAAAATATTACCCTGGTCCACTTTCTTTGCAACCGTCTTTGTAAACGGAAATACTTTATTTTTTTCATTGACAAAAAGTAACACCACAGCATTCCGTTGATCCAATCACGTATTCGTTTCCAATCATACAAAGTTTTGAGAAACTCCGATTCACCATGCCTTTCACATGCTCATAAGCTATATTAATTTAGGAAGATAAACATATTATGTAAACTATATGTGGCTGGTATTGGTACAGATGCAGCCATTCAAAATGAGCGGTAAAAACCCGCGGTGCAGTAACCATCCCGCAGGGCACCGCAGGGCAAGTGATTGGCTGGCCAAAATGACCGACAGGGGCACTCGTGGTGCATTGGTTGG